TTACCATCCCTAGTCTGTGGTTCAGTCTCAGTGACAGTGGTATTTATACCTGTTTTCCTACAGCTGTTCAGGGCCTCTGGCCTCTTGTCCTTGAACCCTGAAGGGTTTCAGAGGCATAGAATGTCTCTGAAGCCCACCCTTTTTATTTCTTTTGTAATTTACCTTAGGTAGACTGTACTTGGAGGGGGAAATCCCTTGGTCAGGTTTCTGTTGGGCCTTAGAGATATGAACTGCTTGGTCCTGTCAAGGGGAGGGTGATGAGCTCTTCAGGTATTCAGGGCTTTCCCCAACACAAGCCTGGTTCTGGATGTTGAGAGATTTTGTTCCTAAATACCTAACAGGTACAAAGCTGCTGTATAAGATATGCAAATGTGAACAGGAGCTACCCCTCTAGAAGGTTAGGGAAGTCTCAGAAGACAGAGAGATTAAAGGCTTTCTGGAGGAGGCCTGGACTTTAGCAGTTGGGAGATGCAGTGAGAGCAGGGTGGCCCATCTTGAGTGGTCCAGCTTAGCTGAAGCAAGGCTGTGTGTGTGGAAATTGTGAAAAATAGAGCTGGAGATGTAGTTTGGGGCCATCTCCTAAAGGACTGCCAGCCGACGAGCAGAGACATGGTGAGTGTCTAGTTCCTTGTGGCCTAGGCCCTATTCAGTACTTATGCAACTTACCTGACAGCAATATTATGATGGAAGTGCCACAGAAATTCAAGCAGGGAATTAGGAGCTAGGGTTGGACCCTTGTGCTCTTGTCCTGCCAGGTTCCTGCCAGGTTGGTGGAGCCATCTTGTTTGTGCTATTCCTGATTCCTAGGTTGCCCTCCAAGCCTACCCAGGCCAAACGTGCTCCCAAGCGCCGTGCCCCAGGCCCTAGGCAACCCCGTGATCCAGACAAAGTTGGCTTGAACAATTATTGCAAAGCCTTCAGCTTCTATGCCAAAATTCCTATGGAGAAGTCAGCCTCTCAGACCCTGATGAAGTGGTGAGCTGTTGTTGGCAATGGTCAGGGCCCTAGGTCACCTTTTTTATTCTTTTCCCCCACACCTGGGAATGGAGACGTGCATATTTGTGGGTGTCCAGCTTACAGACCTACTGCCCAGTGTAGGATGCTGGGCTCTGACTTTGTGTTTCTGGGCTCCTAACTCTTGCCTTACCCTCCCTTATTGTAGCTTGAACCAGTATTTCAGGACCCTTTGTGATGACCTAGAGACCTTTGCCCACCATGCAGGCCGAAAAACCGTGTTGTTGGCTGACTTGGAGCTGTTGATGAGGCGGTGAGTAGGCCTGAACCTGAGTCTTTTCTGCCTGTCACCCAGCTTCAGGAATACCAGGGCTGGGATGGGGGTGGAGGACAGAGGTAGGGAAGGGTTAGGAGGAGCCTCCTCCAGGGAGAGGGTCTGGTGCTGAAATTTCAGGGGAATCCCTTAAGTATGATATGACCATTCTCTTCTTTTTCTCCTTCCACTTTCCCCCCTCTAGGCAGGGCCTGGTGACTGATGATATTTCCCTCTACGTGCTTGTGGAGAGATTCCTGCCCTTGGAGTACCGGAGGCTGCTCATCCCCTGTGCAGCCAGTGGCAATTCTGTCTTCCCTGCTGGGTAGGGACGCTGCCGCCCCAGCTTCTCTAAGTAGAGAGGTGAGCAGGAGCCTGAAGCTGAGGCTCCTTGGAGGCCTTCACGTAAGGCCTTTCTAGGAGTGGACTCTTCACATACTACTGTCAGTGTCAATAAAATGTGATAAAGCCACTTTAAAAAGATGGTGGTGTGGCTGAGTTGGGGGCCAAAAGCAGAAGCCAACCTTTCCCCTCCCCCCCCACGGGGTTCTCATTCTTTTTCAGTCTGGGCAGAGGCATGCAGAAGTTGGGGAGGATGATTAAGCAGCACAATTGTAGAACCTCAAGACTCAGAGCTTAGTGGTCAGCCAGTCCAGCCTCTCTGCTGGCCTCCTGCCCATGGGCAGGCCTTCTACCTGGTCTCCTTGCCTCCACCATCATTCCTCTGCCCTAAAACCTTCAGGGGCTCCCTCTTGCATACATAAGAAATCACATCCTCTTGGTCCTGGCATCTGAAGTGCTCTGCCCTCTGGCTCAAACCCCAGCAAGCAGCTATTTGGGTTTTTGATTGGCCATCTCCTATCTCTGTGTTCTTCCAGGTGATTCTGGGTGTAAGGAGTGTGCTCTGTCCCTGTCTCTCTGGGAGCTTTCCTTTGCTCCAACATCCTTCTATCTACACATGGTGTATCCCCTAATAAGTTGAGGAACTGTGAGGGTGGGGACTATGATTCCTGTTGCTGTCTCCCCAGCCAGGATCTAGGGCATGGCCCATAGTAAGAAGGTGCATGTTGAATTGTTGACCTGAGCCAAGATTCAGACCCAGCTCTTTTAGACTTCAAGTCCAGGTCTCCAGGTACTTTTCTTGCTGATTCCCATGTTGGAAACTTGGTTTTCCTTGCAGTCACCCTTATTTCTTTCACCTCTCCTCCTTGTGCACGCCACACTCAGGCATAGAACGCAAATTCTTAAAAATGATATATTTGTTTCCAAAATTAAGGCATCTTTGCATTTGTAATGGGGTGGAGGAAGGGAAGGGAAACAAGGCTGTGGTGTGGAGTGACTTGTGTCCCTCTGCCCCTCCTTCCATGGTCAAAGGTAGGATTTTTACTTTGGTTGGCTGGGAGAGGGTCTAGGAAGCTGGCTCAAGCTCCCGAGGGCCCATTCGCTTGATGGCTCCAGCTTGTAAGTGGGTTAGCAGAACATCTTGTCGCTGGCTCTGTTCTGGCTCCAATTCTGCTATAGGGGTCTGGAAGGCCTGGCTCAGGTAGTTATCCAGAGTTTGCTCATCCAGAGAGGGGTCAATGGAAATCAGGGCATGGCGTAGCCGTTCTGGGGTTGTCTCAGCCGCCCTAGCCCCAAATAAACAGACCTCAGCAGTGCTTGCTTCTTCCCAGCCCTCACCAGATGCTGCACCATCAGATGGTAAAGGGAGGGAGCAAATTCCATGGGGCGCATATGGCATTTCCTGCCCCTCCCCCAAGGAGAGGAGAGCAGCCCCAGGGGGCACATTCTGTAGGGCCCCGAGTCAGTTCTTCTATAGCACACTCGGGTGTAGCAGTTCAAGTCACAACCTTCAAAGAGCCTGGTTGGCCCAGTGGTATTTTACATACTGGATGAGGAATGGCTTAGTGGTGAAGGCAAGAGTGAGCACTGGACTTGAAATCAGAATTCAATAGGAAACATTTGTCAAACAGCCTGGGTAAAGCACTGTGCAAAGATCAGGGCCTTGCCCTTGGGGAGCTGACATTTTTTTAATTATAGCTACTACAGACGTGCTTTCAATAGAGTTTCTCATGGGATCCTCACAACAGCCTTGGGAGGTAGGTGCTAGTATCCCCACCTTTACAGAGGAGGAAACTAAGGCTGAACAAGGTTTGATGCTTGTCCAGGGTCACACAGCTAATAAGTGTCTTAGGCAGGATGTGAATTTGAGTGTTCCTGACTGAGTCCAGAACAGTTATCTCTGGTGCCACCTAGTCAAATACAAAGTTGGGGCGGGGAGGGGGATTGGCCAAAGGAGAAACCTGGACAAGGTACCAGAGGAAAATTTTAAGAAAGTGGAGAAGACAGGATTTTAGTCCTGGGTCTGGCTCTAGTGCCCTGACCACAGGCAAGTCACTTCTCTGAACCTGCTTCCTCATCTATAAAATGGAGACTCTATTTGTATTACTTGCATCACAGAATGTTGTGAGAAGTCTGTAAACCCTAAAACGCTATGTAGATGTGAACTGTTAGGTTGCTTTTCTGGACCAAGAGAAGCATAAGGGGAGCAGAGAAGTGTTGATCTGGCAATCAACAAGGGTACACTTACCTGTTAGGCCCAAGTTCTATCTCTAGGTCCAGCAGATAGGCCTTCTTCTCATTTTCGGCCTGTTCCCACAGTTTATGAATGAAGGGCCCTGAAGCACCCAATTCATCCTGGGAGAGGTCATAGACCCTAGTTAGGGCTCAGTGTAACACTTCTGGGTCTGGCTCCCTGCCAGCCATGACAGGTGAGGGAATGCCCTAGACTGTAAGAAGTCACCCATTCCACATTTGTAAGAAGGAATCCTACGAAGGGAGCTCAGGATGAGAGAGACTGGAATGAAGACTGATCCCCTCCCTTTAGGCTTGGAGGAAGGCTCCTATTGAACAAAAAGTCCTTCCTCAATGCTTAACCAAGCTTCGTCTTCTCCCATCCCAGCCCCAACCCATCCATTTTGCTGCTGGAGTTCAGTTTGCAAGATCAGCCCAGACACCCAAGTGACAATGTTTAAACCTGGTGGTATGGGGCTGAGCTTTCTGGGGAGGGCAGCCCTGGCTGGAGTGATCTCCCTTGAAGGATGGGACACTGGGCAAAGGCAAAGGGCAGGCTGTTGGTGTTACCTCAACAAACAAAAATCGGTAGTGAACGTCACGGGGGATGCCCTCTAACTGGACCTCAGCCACTTCCAACAACTCCTGAATCTGTTCGTCTGTCTTGAGAGGGAAGGCATTCTTGAGCACCATGCTGAATAGTGAGAGAAGATACCAGGCAGTGGGAGAGGAACCAACCCAATGGCTAGTTTTAATACAACAAACATTTAGTAAGCACCATCCAATGATTGTATGCAGAGACCCTGGCCTAGGTGTTGGTGTTACAAAGAGGATGAAAGTCCTGCTGGCTCAAGGAGCTTAGGATGACCAGGTCTTTCTGTTTTTATAGTCTCTTTCTTCCCCTTCCCTCGAGTCTGGCCATAGTTTTGGATGAAGGGTGGTGGGAGCTGTATGATAATGGCAAATGGAGTGGGACTGTCCATGGTGATGGTGTAGTAGTGATGGGCCAGATGTGCTCTTACTGATTTGTCATAGATTTTTTTTTTTCAGTTCTTATTTTGGTAAGCCTAGGGGGAACTAGACTCAGACATGTCCTCCCCTCATTCACTTAGGGCTTCTATGAGACAGGGCAGGTAGAGCCATGTGGCCTGCCTCAATGTTTTCTCTTTCTGCAGGGCCCTCAAGCTCCAGTGGAACATCAGTTCAACAAATCAACCAATATTATCAAGGAGCTTAGTGTTACATATTGGGGATGCTGAGCCAAAAACTGAAAAGGGTCCCTGTCTTTCGTGAATCTGTCTCATGGGGCAACTGTTCCTAAATCCTAATCCTGAGTACTCGGGCAGGGAGGAGTTGCGTGGGAGGGGGACAGGAGGTAGCCAGGGCCCTGGCCTTTCCAACCTGAACTGATCTAGGGTGAGGTTTCCCTCATTTGGACTGTCGCTGTTGGTCAACTCCTTCAGCAGATAGGACACGAGCTCTCTCTGGCCAAGGTACACATTTTCGTCCACCTAGGGAAAAAAGCCTGGTCTGTGGCTCCAGAGATTGGCCTACAGGAGCTTACCCAGGTTTTAATGGGAAAAACAATCCCAGAGGGGCAACAGCTCTTCCTCTAAACCCTCAGGGGTCTACAGGGCAAAGGAGAAAGGTAGGAAGGAGAGAAAAAAAGGTGATGGTGCTGGCTGCCCAGGAGTGACCAAACCCCTTCCTCTGTTGGTGGGGATAGAGAAGATTTCATAGAAGGGAATTCTGTAGAGGGCATTTCAGAGCCCAGAGGACCATAGGTCAGATCTGGAAGGTGTTTTAGAAGTCACCTAGACCAGACTGCATCTTTTATAATTGAGGAAACTGAGGGGAAGTGATTCGGGGAATAAGACAGGCCCTCTGAGATAGGGGCTCTGATTCTGGATCCAGTGCTATGCCCACTGTGCCAAGCCACATTTTGAAGATTAGATAACAGAAACCTAGGTTGAGTCAAGGCTCTACTTCAGAGAGTGCAACTCTGATGGGCTGACCATGTTCAAATGCAAAACGTACGCTTGCCAAAAAGCATTCACGTGGTAGCTGACGAGGATACACACTCTCAAGGCCTCTCTTAAGAACTCTGGAATCAATTGCATGACATGGGAGACACTGGCACAGGACCACCCAGCACGGTGTGCCCACATCAGAGAAGGTGCTGTGCTCTATGAGCAAAGCAGAATTGAAGTAGTTCAAAAGAAATACAAAATGCTTAAATTTAGAGAATCCACCCCAAATGTTCACATGGACTATTTGTGCCCAACCTGTGGTAGAAAATTCCGAGCTCTGATCAGCCATGGTTGGACACACTGTACCTTGGCTCTTACCATAGTTAAGTGATATCATTTTTGGTCCTCTTTGAGCACGAAGGACCTAACCTAATCTAAGGTTAAGTCAAGGCACTTGCCCAGCATCATCAATGGCTTTTGTCCAAGCTCATTAACATCAAGGTTAGGATGGGAACTCAGGACTTTCTTTTGACTCCTCTTTATATCAGTGCCTTTTCTAGTCACATTATGGTGGCTTTAGATAATCTCTAAGATTCCTTCCAGGTCTGAGATGATGATTTCGTTGACCTTATGCTCTTTTCCCTCTTCTGCTTGCTCCACTTTAGGCAGAGTGGATTCTCTTTTGGCAGTCTTTCTTTTTCTGGGGAGTAACGGGTTAAGCTCACCTTTCCCATGAGGACATCATGGAACTGCTTCATGACCTCACTGGAGTGAAAGAGTTTGACATTTTCAAAAATTGTGTAGGACCAGTCCATGGCAGAGGCATCCCCAAAGCGTTTTTTCAGGTAGTCGAGGAAAAACCGGGCCAAGGTGGATGTTTTCTCTTTCTGCAAGGAAATGGAGGGGTGAAGTTGGAGGTCAAGTGGTCAGGGAGCTGGTGGGATGACCTCCAAAGCCTGCTTCATCATCTGCCTTGGGAAAGCTGCTTATTTCATTGGGCCCCTTAAGAATTCTATCCTAAGGCCATAGGACTTTCCTCTCATCTTAGATGAATTTCTTATATGATTTTCCAAAAAAGCCTGTGTCTATCCTAGCCCCACCACCCTTGCCACCACTAGCCTCACAGAGCTTGTGAAGGCCAGTTCCCTTTATCTCTCCATTCCCTGGGCTAGGAGAGTGGGGGCACCTCTCACCCTCCCTCTCCTGTCTGACTCTGCTGAAGTATTAGCACCACCCACCCACTCTTCCTCCCACTGCTTGCCCTCCTGCCAACCACAATCAGCCTGAGGACCTGCTCTTCGGCCATCCGCTCTTTCCAGACATCTTGGATAATGTCCACCACCTCCTTTTTACTTAGCTTTTTGTTTCGGACAAACCCTCCGGACCGGAGGAACTCTGGGATGTCTTCAGTGGAGCCCTGGAAAAGGGGATATGTTCCTACCAACCATGGAGTTCTGAGCCAACGTGCTTCTATTAATTCAATTTAAGTCATTTACTAAGCATCTACTGTGTGCTGACTCAAAGAGCTTGGGCCAATTTTGACTAAGATTTGAAAGCCCTCCCTAAGCCACAGGGTGTAAATGGGACTTCCAGAGAGACAAAATCAGGAGTTGCCCCTCAAAGAGCTTGGAGGGCAGGGGAAACGTGTGCTGGCCAACCCCAGGGAAAGGTCCTACCAGGCCTTGGAAGGTCTCCCTTTCTCGAAGAAGTCCTGAACCAATCTCTTCCAGCAGCACATTGACAAGCTGGTCACTGCTTTTCCCTTGAGACAAAAACTGCCAGCGTTCTTGTCCCCCAGATACCACATCTGTGAGAGAAAAAGGGAAGAAGCTGGGGGCTGATCAATCTAGGGACCAAGCATTTGCTGAGAGAGGGCTCCGAGAATCAGAATTCTAGGAGGTCACCTAGTCAAGCCACAACCAAGCCAGAATTCCATCTACAGTATTCCTAACGAGCTATCTTTCAGCCTCTGCTTGAAGACTTCCAGTGATGCGAACACCCACTACCTCCTCAGGGAGCAAGCAGACTCAGCCTTTGCATCATTAGGAAATTTTTTCCACTGCTCCTAGGTCTAAGCTTGGGGGCCAAACAACCCAAGAGTAATATTTCGCCATGATAGCCCTTCAATACTGGGAACCACTTAACATACTGCATCCCCTGCTGCCAGGTCTTAGCTTTTTTAGGCTAAACACATTTTGGGCCCCTTATGAATCTTTGTATAGAAGTCTTCCCCGATCATGCTGGTCACCCTGTTCTGAATGGGCTCCAGTTTACCTAAAATATGGCATCCTGAACACAGTGCCAGCTGAGGCTGACCAGGGCCCGATACTCTGAAGACCTTCCCCCTCCTCATTTTTTTATATCATGCTTTTGTTATTGTAGCCCAAGAACTGATCACTGCCATAGCTTACTGATGACTGAGATTCTAAGTCCCCAGGCTGTTCTACTGTGGCGGGTTTTCCTCCCCAATCCATCCAACCCTACACCAGAGGGGCAAGAGCTAATGTTGCAGCTTGGTCTTTGTTTTTGAGTGGGTTTTCCCTAGGTCTTGGCCCCAGCAAAGCCCCTCTCCCCACCTGATGGCTACCTTCACACTTGGACCAGTTGGGCCTGGGAGTGGAGGTCCGTTGTATCTCCTGCAGATCTCGGGAGAATTCATCCCTATCCCTTACAATTGTCATATGAACCTGTAGCAGCATGTCGTACTCCTTTCGTATGTCTTGAAAGTCACTTCTTAAGTTCTCTACCTGGAAGACAGGTTCAGCTCAGGTCAAACACTAGAGGCTCCTAAGGAAGTACCATGTGGTGGAATTTGGGAAAGAGCACTGATTTTTAAGTCAGAGGACCTCTGGTTGAGTTCCTGCTTAGCTCCTTGGAACCTCTGTGACCTTGGCTAATAATAGTAGTAAATAGCAATTATATAGTGCTTTTGGGTTTTCAAAATGCTTTACAAATATCTCATTTTATCTTCACAACAACACTGAGAGATAGGTACTATTATTATCCCCATGTTACAGATAAGGAAACTGAAGGAAAAGTTAAATGACTTGACCATGGTCACACAGCTGGTGAGTGTCTGAATCTAGGTTTGAACTTGGGTTTTTCTGAGTGCAGGTCCAGTGCTCTATCTACTGCACCACCTAGCTACCTCTGGCCTCAATTTCATGATCTATCAAAAAGTATCAGCCTAGATCATAGTTAAGGTTCATTCTAGCTCTAAATCATATAATACAACGAACTCCCCCCTCCAACATTGGGCTGCGAGGGAAGAATGTCTCTCCCTAGTCAATCTCCCCATAATATCCAGCTCTACAGTAGGGAAAATAGCCTCACCATTTCAAATAATTCCTTGTTTTTTTTCTCCTCCATTTCAAAATCCCTCCTGGGGACAACATCACCAAAATTTGCCTTCATTGTGTTGAGTTCCTTCTGAGTTCTGGTGAGGTCTTGACGAGCCATCTTCAAAGCCAGGGTTAACTTCACAGGGTCTTCTCCCCACACATCTTGAAAGATAATCAGCCCTGTTAGTGCCCCAGGCTTAATTCTCTCCAGGTTCCAGCAAAAAAACCAAACATCTAATGCCCTTTCTCTCCTCTTGACGGTTCCATCTGAGGTTGCTTCAGCCACTGGGTCTTTCAATTTCACTGAATCTCTAACTTTGTGTAAGACTTTGTGCTAGGGTGTGAGGGACAAATACAAGGAGAGATGGTAAACTGCACCTCAAACCTACCAAGAGTAGGGGAGATAAGCTACCACAAATAACTATAATGCAAATTAGAATGTGATTGGTGCATACGAAAGGGACAAAGATGGAAGGATCCCTTTTGATTGGTCAGTGAGGGAAACCTTAGAGATCATCTCACTCAATTTCCTTATTTTACAGATAAAGAGTTTGAGGCTTAGAGACCTTAAGTGACTTGCCCAGGGTCACACAGGTAGAAAGTGGCAAGGTCAGGATTGGAACCTAGATGAAGGGGCTCCCATCTATTGATCTTTCCTTTATGCTGCACTACTTCAGGCAGAACCCGAGCTGATCACCTTATCCCCTGCTTCACCTTCGTATCTGTCCATCTCATAGATAAGATTTGCAAGTTCAGATCTGAGATTCGCAACCACTCTCTCTGACTTTAGAGATCACCCACATTCCTCAGTACCTACCACCACAGAAGACCTTACAGAACCACTCCCCACCCATGCCTCCTTTTGTTTCTGATTATACCCAAAAAGGAAGCTCCAGAGGAGTTTTATCTACCTGGAGACTGGGCAAGAGACATGTCCTCACGCTGATATCGAAGCTCATTAAGATCAGCAACAAGGATCCTTCTGGCATCTCGTTCATTAAGGAAATGAAGATATTCCTCTGCCAAGGTTTTCCGTAGCTTGGTCACCTGGAGGACAGACTAGCTCAGCTTGGACCATACTTGGGGGCAGCCACAAATTTTCTGACCTTACCTGGACCCGACGAGAAGCTAACAGAGCATGCTCTGCCTAGGAAGTTTTTAATGTAATGATGCTCCTGCTTACCAGATGTGTACAACTGGAAGAACAAGGCATGTATGACCTTTGTGGAGACTTGGTAGAATTGATTCAGTTAGGACTGAGGAAGAGGAGTAAGGGGAAATGGAGCTGTTTCTAAGACCCAGGCAAGAAAGGTATTCAGAGGGACAGAGTTGGAGCTCTGAGGGAACACATATTTCTCCTCTTGACCCATGGACTGTGACTGTCTACTAGTAGGGAGGTTTCAGTATATGCTTTCAGGTAGGGCTGGACACTACCAGTTAGATGTTTCCTAAGCAACAGGGTCCTCTATGGACCCCGCCTTGTCAGCAGGGAAAGAAATGATTTGGCAGACTCCATCAGACCCACTTGAGTTTGCAGAGAGATCTTCTCTTCGTTCTTTTTGTCAATGAGCTTTAATAAGTTAATTTTCTCTTTCTTCAACATTTTGATTTCATATCTCTCCTCTGCCCTGATAGCCAGGATTTTTTCATTGCAGTCTTCAGACACATTGACTAGCATGGCTTTCAGTGGCTCCAGAGACCGAATCTTCTCCCTAAAGTGAGCTGATCAAAGCCAGAGAAGATGAGTCCTCCAGTCCAGGGATGTATTGACCGAGGGGTGTGGGGGTATGGGACAGTTCTTCAGGTCCTCTCTGAACAAGTGATCTGGATAACAACCATTTCAAGAAGGACTGGATTGATTGGTGGGGACTCTAGGAAACAGGTGTTTAAAAAAATTATGAGGGGCAGCTAGGTGGCGCCGTGGATAGAGCACCGGCCCTGAAGTCAGGAGCACCTGAGTTCAAATCCGGATTGGACCAAACATTTGACACTTACTAGCTGTGTGACCCTGGGCAAGTCACTTAACCCCAACTGCCTAAGCAAAAAAAAAAAAAAAAATTATGGGATTAAAATCTAGTCCAACCCCATTTTATAGATTAGGAAGCAGATCCATAGAAATCCAGATCCAGTGACTTGCCTAAGACCACACAGTTGCTTCATAACTGAGACATTATTTGAACCTGAGTTGTCTGACTCAATCCAGTGCTCCTTTCATGGTACCACTTGGGTTACCTAACTAGAGACCAGACACTCTCATATCTGAAGGCTGCACAGCTAAGACAGCAACCTGCCCAGACAAATCCAGAGCAATATTCCTGAGTTAGTATCCAGGCCAGGACAAAGGGTATGCACGGTTTTATGGCTTTTTGTAGCCCTAAGCTTTTTATACCCAGTCCTGGCCATAGCATAACTAGGTCTGTATCCCAAAGAGATCAAAGGAAAAGGTCCTATATGTATGTACGATAATATTTTAAGCAACTTTTTTTCTCTTTTTTATTAATTTATTTTAATTTATCAACAATCACTTCCGTAAGTTTTTGAGTTTTAAATTTTTCTCCCCCTTCCTCCCCACCACCCTCCCCAAGACGGCGCACGATCTGATATAGGCTCTACATATACATTCCTATTAAACATATTTTCACATTAGTGATGTTGTAAGTAAGAATTAGAACCAATAGGAGGAAGCACCAGAAAGAGGAAACAAAACTCAACAGAAGAAAAGAAAATAGCAAATAGTATGCTTTGATCTGCATTCCAACTCCATAGTTTTTTCTTTCAGGAGAGTACCTTCTCTGCAGTCTTAAAGTAGGTTTTTTTTTTAACCTTTTTTTTTTTTCCTGGTCATAGACCGCTCCTCCCAAGAATAATGTTTTTAAATGCATAAAATAAAATACACAGTACTACCAAGGAAACCAATTATATTATAATACAGTTATCAAAGCAGAAAAATAAAATATAACAAATCCATGGACCCCAGGTTAAGAATCCCCGTCCTCCAGAGTTTCTTAGAATACTAAGAGATGAAGTGATTTGTGTAGGGTTACAAGGGCAATATGGGTCATAGGCAGGACTTGAACCCAGATCTTCTTGGTTCTGACAACAGCGCTTTATTGACTATGCCACACTGCCTTTCTGTGAGGCAGAGAATGAAGACCAACTCCCTCCCTTAAAGGTATTGGGAAAATTAATGTGTGAACCACTCTGAAGCTAAGAGGCGCCCTGGGTAGTTATGATGACCTGGTCTTACCCGGTGAACCTCACTGTAGAGGCATCAGACTGACTGGTCAACATATTTTTGTCGATTTGGTTGTCAGGACTCTGCTAGTACTTGTGAAGGACCTCCAAGAATTACAGAACCACAATGTTCAGAGGAACCTGGTCAGTTTGCTACTGAAGGCAGCACCCATGCACTCTCTCTCTTACTCACTTATGCACACACTCACACATGCTGGCTGGAGGGGTGGCACCCAAGGTCTTACCTAGTGTGACTTCATATGCGTTCTTTATGGAAGACAACAGGGGCTTATAAGTTTTGAAGTCCTCTATAAAGAATTCAAAGATTTCTCTGTAAGGCTGGTGAAAAAAGGAGAGAAACAAACCATGGGGGGAAAGCCAAGGGAAGAAGACCTTCCGTCTTATTTCTACCTCTCTGAAATGCCCTTTGTGGGCACTTAGTGGGTAGAAGATATGACTTCTTCCATCTTCCATTCCCTGGGGCCATATTGGATGATAAGAGGATGACAAATGACCAAAAATCCCATGACAACCACAGCCACTGTCACTGCTTTTGCCAAGTACAAGCAAAGACGGGCTTACTTCTCTACAGGCCCCCACAGGTGGGGTTGTGGGTCTTCTAGGTAAGGTTCCATGACCCCCTAACTCTGCCCTTACTTCTCCTGTCTTTCTATCTGCAGCACCTTCCTTCCCCTTCTCTCTGATGGGACAGGAGCAATGCCCATGTCTCAGCCTATGAGGCTTCTGTTCAAGCTTCACCCTGCACCTGAGGAGACCCGAGTTTTCTTCTGGCTCTCCCATAATTCTTGGCTTAGACCTTGGGCAAGGGGCTTGCCCTCTCTAACCCTCTGTCAGCTTCAGCTGAGGAGGTCTGAATGGAATGGTCTCTACCATCTCTTCTAATTCTGACATCCTAGGAGGCCCTGACTTCCTTTTGACCCCTCCTTCTTCAAACATGGCATTTCCTTGACTCTGTAAGATGCATGGATAATGTTAGTGCCATAATCCTATTTTTTAAAAGTCTGTGCTAGGTCAGGATTTTTCCTATGTGAGTTTGTGATCTGTATCCATCTGTCTCATCCATCTTTGACTGTAAGAAGCTAAAAGGCAGGGATGTTACTCTGTCAATGGGTAGCTTAGCAGAGGGTAGACACATACGTTGTGGCCGCTCACGTGAGGACGGCCCATATGGGTTAGTCTGGAGACGCCCCTGGAAACCTTAAGGGTGAGAACCGCTGTCCTCTCAGTAAGGACTCAAGAGAAACACAGAATTCTTGAATTCTAGGAGAGCTCAGAGTAGCAAAGAGTTGAAGTCCTTCATCTGACAGATCAGGAGACTGAGGCCCAGAGAGAGGAAGGGGCTTTCTTGAGGTCACACAGCTAGCTAGTGTCAAGTCAGCTGTCTTAACACCAAGACTCATTGCTGTATGCTCATCTCAGTGGGTCGGCTGCCACTGATGAGACCTCTGAACAGCTGGGCTCTAAGCAGTCAGTCTGAGTGATTTACTTTGGCACTGTTTCTCCTATCTATCCCTTATCTCCGCTCATATTGACACTATCCCATTGATGGTCACTCCACTTCTTGTCTAGACTATCACAACAGCCTCCTAACTGGACATCTGGACTCCAGCCTGTCTCCCTCTCCGGTCCGTTCTCTACGCAGCTGCCATAGTGACATTGCTCAAGCAGAGGCCTTGCCCTATCACAGCCCTGCTCCAAAGAGGTCCAGTGGTTCCCTGGTGCTTTTCAGATCCAAACTCCTCCATTTGGTATTTAAAGTCCTTCACAGTCTGGCTTCAGCCTTTATGTCCCTTCCTGCACTCTAATATCCAGCCAAATGGGCCATCTTAGGTCCTGAACTCAGTACTCCTCCTCCTTCTACCTCCAGGCTTTTTCTCAGTCTTCCTCACATATGGAATGCACTCTCTTCCTCTTAGAATCCTTTCTTCAAGGTCCATGTGCCACACCCTAGGGGACACCTCTCCTGATCCCCCAACGCTGACCTACATTCCTCCATTAGAGTACAAACTCTCTGAGGGCAGGGATTGTTTTTTGTTGTTTTATTTTTGTATCTCCTGTGCCTTGGAGTTGGACTGCACCTTTCTGGCCAGTCATTTATAGACTTTCTCCTGGGGTCAACATCTCCTCTGACCTGAGGGTCTGACTCCAATCTAACCCCCTATTGGCCTTGTGCACACAGGAGGGCTTGGGCAGCGGCTTCTCAGCCCCAGGATGCTTCCCAGTGAGGAGCTCCCTCCTCCAGGGACCCCCTTCTCCAGGGCTGATGGAGCAGCCGCACCTGGAGCTTGAGCTCCTCAGAGTTGTCTTTCTTCATGTCCAGAAGAAGCAGCTCTTTCCTCAGGTAGTTTTCGAGCTGTTCCAGGTATCGCGGCTTTGAAATGTTGAGTGCGGCCTTGTCTCTGGCCCTGTGGGAAACAGCATTGGGAAGGAGGTTGGTTCTTCATTGCAGACAGAAGCCTAGATCAATTTACTTTTTGGGAAGGGATATTTCTCATCCGTGGGGCAGTTCTCCCACCTCCCAGCACCCCCCGGCCCCCAGGCCCTCTGGACAGTCTGCAGCCCAGAAGAAGCTCAGCTCTGTTCACGTGCAGAGTATTTAGAAACAACCACCTGAATGAAGTGGCCACAGCGCTAGTTACTCCAGGCATCCGGTAGGAAGAGAGCAGAAAGGCTGGGATCACCTTGGAAAAATCTGGCCTGCCACATGGACCCCCTGTTTTGTACAGTGACAGCCATACCCTTCTAGACAGCCCTTCTAGAGAGCTCCAGATACAGAAAGAGTTCAAGAACGCACATCAGGCTGGCCTGATTGGAAAGAAGGAGCACATACATGCATGCGCATATGTATATGTTAATGTGTGTACACGTGTGTGAGCACATGCATGCGTACATATGGGTGCACATTTGCATTGTGAGAGTTTGTGTGTGAGCATCTGTGTGAAGCTGTGTGCTTGAGTAGGCATGTGTACATATATGTGTGTGCCTGTTGAGTGTGAATGCATGTGCATGTGTATGCTTGCTCCCACATGCTTACCCTGTTTTGTTGGTGGTTGAGCAGGGTTTGCGGTTCTGTAAGATAACTTGTGCACTGGCATACGCAGGCCATGAGGAGAGACGGCCACCCGTGGAAAAATGAAGCGGCTGAGAAATAGGTTCAAGAGAGATACCTCGCTTTGCTGAGCCCCTAGCCCGGGGCTCTCTAGGTTTCCTGACCTCCAACCTCCCAGTCACTGACTTGGCCTGTATCTTGTGAGTACATGGCTGCTGGGTGCTGTCCCCTACACTGGACTGTCAGCTCCCGTGAGCAGGGTGGGGTTCTGCTTCAGCCCAGTGCCTAGCACAGGGCACTATTTAATAAATGCCTGTTGGCCAATGGACTGTGAGGAAGTCTGGTTTCATGGAAATACTGCTGCATTCAGAGCCCTCACTCTCACTCTGCCTAGGTTGTGACTGTGCACGTGACCCTTAACCTCTGGGCGTGGGGACTGGCTAATAGAGATGCCAGGGGCTGCCTGCATATAGCACGGGGAGCACCCTCACTGTGGATTGGCTGCACCGTTGGAGGGCCCCATAGCTTCTGCATGTCACCCTCCCATCATTGAGATGGAGGAGGGGAAGAGTTCAGTGGGTCCAGCTAGCTTGGGCACCCCAGCCTGTCAGCTACCTTGGGAGGATGCTGATAGGAAATGCCCACTCACCGGAGTTTTGCGGTGCTGAAAGATCTTACGTTTATAGAGAGTCTTGGCATCTGGGAGAGGGTTGGATGTGGTGTTTACTGTAGGATGAGCAAGATGGTCTCTGAATGAGAAGAATGACAAGAGCCTGTCATTGGGTATCGGATACCCCAGGGCTTTTGTAGAGGAGAAATACAGAAGCATCGATGGGCTCCACCCCTTTCCCTTCCTCCACCTCGTGGAGACCAATGGAGAAAACGAAGTGTCCAGGGCACCTACTCTGTTCTTCCCTGGAAACGTTTTTCTTCTTTTCACCAGCACATCCTAGCCTAGAGGTCTGCCTACCACAAGTACAGGACAAAGTGCTCACATCAGCCTGCTTTGTCATGCATTTCATCCAAGTGTTTTGGCTGCCAGATAGAAAGAGACAAAAAAAATACCAACTGGGCACCGTGGGAAGATGTGGTGGGGGTGATGAGGCAGTCTGTGGTAAGTAGAAAGGAGGAGAGTGGATCTTTCCCGAATTTCCTGAAGCCTCAGGCAGTCACTGGCCCAGCGGTGAAGGAAGGGTTATGGGGTGAGAGGTCTTGGAGCGGGGTGGAACTTTACAGGTTATTCTGAAGTAGAAAGAGCTTGGAGTCCCAGGATCTGTGTTTTGGTCCTGGGTCAGTTTCTCACTAGTCCTAAAATCATGAGTTTTGGTTATCTCTTGGCATTAGATAAATAGTTAGAGTTTCTCAGAGCATAATGCCTGGCACACAGTAAGTGCTTAATAAGTGTTCAGTGACAGAGGGGCAGCTAGGTGGCACAGTGGATAAAGCACCAGTCCTGAAGTCAGGAGGACCTGAGTTCAAATCTGGACTCAGTAGCTATGTGACCCCGGGCAAGTCACTTAACCTTCAATTGACTAAAAAAAAAAAATGTTTAGTGACTAATGGAAGCAGAACAGGACAAGTACTGGAGCCAGACGTGCTAAGGAGGGCAGCAGATTAGACTTGTGGAAGGAAAAGGAAAACACCCTGGCCCGGGGAGTTTGGAAAGTCTAGGTTTGGGCCCTGGTTCTCTTCCTGAGTAGCTGTGTGACTGTGAACAAAGTCCCTTGACCTCCATCTGCTCATCTGTAAAATGGGGATGATAATCCTCGCTGTGTCTACCTCACAGGGTTTGTAAGGAAAATGTGAAATGTAAAGCTTTTCTTAAAAGATGAATGGCTAATGTTAGCAATAACTAGAAACTTCCCTCACAGAATCGTGTTCTCATGCCTCACCAAGGTTCGCCGAGGCCACTGTAAAGCAGCCCCCAGTCTGGATGGTTTCTGCCATCCCAGAAAGGTCGCATGCATGGCCCCAACCACAGACTGTCTTCCGTCCTTTCCGAGGACCAGCCTCGAACGGTGCCCAGCGGCTCCTCACCCAGGGCGGCCTTTTCTCTTTCTTCAGAGACATCGGCAGAATAACAGAAAGTACTAACAATCCCTCTCTATTAAGATCCCCATGGCTATTAGCGCTGTTAATGCGAGATCCTTGTCCAGGTGGCTGAGAGTGGGTGATATAAGACCACAGGTCTGGGGGCGGAAGGCACTTGGGCACCATTTAGTGCAGCCCTCTCAATTTACAGGTAAGGAAACCGAGGTCCACAGAAGTCAAAGGACTTGTCTGAGGCCACAGGGACACACCACGAAGCCAAGCCTCTGACTCGAGTCAGCGGTCTCTCCATCCAGATATGCTCCGCTATTTTACGGGAGGAGTCTCTTGGCTCACTTCAGTTTTGTCATGCTTACTACAAGGGAAACTGGAAGACAAAAGGCAGTTGCCGCTTAACGGAAGGAGGGCTCACAGGTTCTCACTGGAGGGCTCGATCAAGCCAGAGGGCCTGGTTAGTCACACATCCAGGGCCAACCCAAAACATCGTTCCATGGGACATATGGCAGTGCTCATGATCAACCCTGACAAAGCACATCGCCAAGAAGTGGAGCAGCAGCCTGGCTTAGAGGACAGAGAATGGGCCTCAGAGACAGGAAGACCTGGGCTCAAGCCGGAGCTGAGTGAGCCTCGACAAGTTATTTAACCTCTTAGTGCTCTGATAATAATAGCATTTCTAGAGCACCTACTATGTGCCAGGCACTTTACAAATATTCTCTCATTTGATCCTCACAACAGCCTTGGGAGGTAGGTACTATTATTATCCATCCCTGTTTTACCATGGAGAAAACTGAGGCAGAAAGAGGTTAAGTCATTCGCCCATGCTAGATCTGCACTCAGGTCATCCTGACTTCAGGCCCCATGCTCAATCTACATATACTTTTTTTTTGTATTTCTCTTTTTATTATTAATTTATTTTGATTTATCACCAATAACTTCCATCAGCTTTTGAGTTTAAAATTTTTCTCCCCCTCCCTCCCCAAGAAAGTGTGTAATCTGATATAGGCTATACATATACATTACTATTAAACATATTAGTCATGTTGTAAGGAAGAATTAGAACCAATAGGAGGAACCACAAGAAAGAAAATAGCAAATAGTAGGCTTCGATCTGCATTCAAACTCCATAGTTCTTTCTCTGGATGTGGATAGCATTTTCCACCATGAGACTTTGGGAGTTGTCTTAGATCCTTGCACTGCTGAGAAGGGCTAAGTCTATCAAAGTTAGTCACCGCACAATGTGGCTGTTACTGTGGACAACGTTCTCCTGGTTCTGCTCACTTCATTCAGCATCAGTCCATACAAGTCTTTCCTGCTTTTTCTGAAGTCCTCCTGCTCATCATTTCGTATAGCATGATAGTATTCCATTACATTCATATTCCACAACTTGCTCAGTCATTCCCCAATTGATGGGCATCCTCTCAATTTCCAATTCTTTGCCACCACAAAAAGAGCTGCTATAAATATTTTTGTACATGTGGGTCCTTTTCCCATCTTTATGATCTCTTTGGGATACAGCCCTAGAAGTTCTATTGCTGGGTCAAAGGGTATACACAGTCTTATAGCCCTTTGGGCATAGTTCCAAATGGCTCTCCAAAATGGCTGGATCATTTTACAACTCCACCAACAATGCATTAGTGTTCCAATTTTTCCACATGTTCTCCAACATTTATTATTTTCCTGATTTGTCATGTTGGCCAATCTGATAGGTGTGATGTACAATCTACATATACTTTAACATTTGATGACTTTGTTACAAAAGCGGCATAAGGGACTTCAACAAAACAGATATAGGGGAGGATGGCAAAAGCAGTTTTGGAAAATATGGTTCAGGAGTAAACAATGAGAGAGGCCAGAGATGTGCAGACAGCCTGAAGCCTAACCCGATGAAGAACCCAGTGTGTGGACTGCTAATGGGACAGGAAGCCAAGATGGAGGGATACAGGCATTAACCCAACTGAACTCTTCCAACATTTCCCTCGAAACAACTTTAAAATAATTCCTCAAATCAAATTTTGGGGCAGCAGAGCCAGCAAGGTCAGGGTGAGTCATCTTTCAAGCCTAAGACAACCTAGGAGGTCACAAAGAGAGATTTCTGACAGTGGAGTGGGAGCTGGCCCAGAGTTTGGCAGGAACACCAAGCAGCCGGCCTTTGAGGCAGCTGTGAAGGCTGTAGAAGCAGCAGTAGCTGCTTTGGGAGCCCTCAGCCCAGATGCATTAACTGGTCAGAAAGAGATTAAAGGATGCCCTTTGCTGGCACTGGGTGCAGCCGGTGCTGACTGGTAGCTGATCGGCATATTGTGCATATGCAGTTTTGGGCTGCAGTTCCAGGACAGAGAGGAGTGCTTGTGGTCAGTCACAAGGGAGTAGGGTTCCTGGTTACAGTTCTAAGGCAGAGGGGAGCTCTAGCACTTGTGACTGCAGGAGAGCAAGGGATGTGGTCATAGTTCCAGGGCCAAGAGCAGCATTAGCACTTGTGGCTGGAGGAAAGCAGGACCTTTCCTGGGTAAAGACCAGAACACAGACCAGGACAGCAGTGACCACTCCTTTCCCCAGATCACATCACCTTGGAAGCACTAAAAACTTGCAGATCCCCATGACTAGCTCTGAAAACAGTAGCACAAAAAAGCCTAAAATTTGGCACACAGGGCCTCCCCACACCCAGGTGAGCAGAGCCCAACTTTAACATAAAGTTCAAAGCCAAGAAATAAACTGGAAAAAATGAGCAAACAATAAAAGAATAACTTGACCATCAAAATCTACTACAGTGGCAGAGAAGACTGAGACATAAACTTAGGAAAAAAACAACAACATGAAAACAGCTACAAGCAAAGCCTCAAATAAAAATGCTACTTGGACCCAAGGACAGCAAGAATTCCTGGAAAAGTTAAAGAAAGAGATAAGAGTGGTAGAGGGAATTAATTAAAAAAAGAGTGATAGAGGAAAAATTGGAAAAGGAAATGAGGGTGATGCAAGAAAATTATGAAAAGAGAATTAACCGCTTGGTAAAAAGGCACAAAAATTCACTGGATAAAGGAACTACTTAAAAAGCAGAATAGACCAAATGGAAAAGGAGGTATAAAAATTCACTGAAGAAAATAACTCCTTAAAAATTAAAATTGGAAGCTAGTGACTCTATGAGACATCAAGAAATAAAACAAAATCAAAAGAATGAAAAAAAAGAAGAAAATATAAACTATCAGAAAAATAACTGACCTGGAAAATAGAGTGAGGAAAGATGATTTAAGAACTATTGGACTGCCTGAAAGCCATGATTAAAAAAAGAGCCTAGACATCATATTTCAAGAAATTATACAAGAGGGAGAGGCTAAGTGGCGCAGTGGATAGAGCACCGACCCTGGAGTCAGGAGGACCTGAGTTCAAATCTGGCTTCAGACACCTAACACTCACTACCTGTGTGACTCTGGGCAAGTCACTTAACCCCAACTGCCTCACCAACCCCCCCCCCCCCCCAAAAAAGAAATTATACAGGAAAACTGCCCTGATATCTTAGATCCAGAGAGCAAAGTAGAAATTAAAAAAAAAAAAACAACACCAATTACATCCTGAAAAAAGATCCTCAAATTAAAAACTCCCAGGAATATTATAGACAAATTCCAGAGCTCCCAGGTCAAGGAGAAAATACTGCAAACAGCCAAAAAAAAAAAAAAAATAATTGACACATCATGAAGCCACAGTCAGG